TCTGAGAACACTTCAATCTCCCTGGTCACTCGATTACAGACCTAAAAGTCACAATATTACAACAAAAAAAACTTCAAAGACAGATTCCAATGAGAGACTGCTGAATTGGAATTAATTTGCAAACTGGACACCATTAAATTACAGGTTTCAGAGTAACAGCCGTGTTAGTCTGTATTCGCAAAAAGAAAAGGAGTACTTGTGGCACCTTAGAGACTAACCAATTTATTTGAGCATGAGCTTTCGTGAGCTACAGCTCACTTCATCGGATGCAAACCCTGGAAACTGCAGCAGACATTATATACACACAGAGATCATGAAACAATACCTCCTCCCACCCCACTGTCCTGCTGGTAATAGCTTATCTAAAGTGATCATCAAGTTGGGCCATTTCCAGCACAAATCCAGGTTTTCTCACCCTCCACACCCCCCACACACAAACTCACTCTCCTGCTGGTAATAGCCCATCCAAAGTGACAACTCTCTTCACAATGTGCATGATAATCAAGTTGGGCCATTTCCTGCACAAATTAAGGTTCTCTCACCCCCTCACCCCCCTCCAAAAACCACACACACAAACTCACTATCCTGCTGGTAATAGCTTCTCCAAAGTGACCACTCTCCCTACAATGTACATGATAATCAAGGTGGGCCATTTCCAGCACAAATCCAGGTTTTCTCACCCCCCCCCACCCCCATACACACACAAACTCACTCTCCTGCTGGTAATAGCTCATCCAAAGTGACCACTCTCCCTACAATGTGCATGGTAATCAAGGTGGGCCATGTCCAGCACAAATCCAGGCTTTCTCACCCCCCCCCCTTTTTTTTTCCCCCGGGGACACACACACACACACAAACTCACTCTCCTGCTGGCAATAGCTCATCCAAACTGACCACTCTCCAAGTTTAAATCCAAGTTTAACCAGAACGTCTGTAACTGGACAGTCTCTACGTAAAAGAATAAATGGACACAAATCAGATGTCAAGAATTATAACATTCATAAACCAGTCGGAGAACACTTCAATCTCTCTGGTCACACAATCACAGACATGAAGGTCGCTATCTTAAAACAAAAAAACTTCAAATCCAGACTCCAGCGAGAAACTGCTGAATTGGAATTCATTTGCAAATTGGATACTATTAATTTAGGCTTAAATAGAGACTGGGAGTGGCTAAGTCATTATGCAAGGTAGCCTATTTCCCCTTGTTTTTTCCTTACCCCCCCCAGACGTTCTGGTTAAACTTGGATTTAAACTTGGAGAGTGGTCAGTTTGAATGAGCTATTGCCAGCAGGAGAGTGAGTTTGTGTGTGTGTGTGTGTCCCCGAGGAAAAAAAAAAAGGGGGGGGGTGAGAAAGCCTGGATTTGTGTTGGACATGGCCCACCTTGATTACCATGCACACTGTAGGGAGAGTGGTCACTTTGGATGAGCTATTACCAGCAGGAGAGTGAGTTTGTGTGTGTATGGGGGTGGGGGGGGGTGAGAAAACCTGGATTTGTGCTGGAAATGGCCCAATTTGATTATCATGCACATTGTAGGGAGAGGTTTCAGAGGAACAGCCGTGTTAGTCTGTACAAAAGAAAAGGAGTACTTGTGGCACCTTAGAGACTAACCATTTATTTGAGCAACTCGTGACTACAGCTCACTCATCAGATGTTTACGGAAACTGCATGCTCAGTTTCCACGGTACATCTGATGAAGTGACTACAACTCTGCTCAAATAATTGGTTAGTCTCTAGGCTTTAGGGAGAGTGGTCACTTTGGATGGGCTATTACCAGCAGGAGAGTGAGTTTGTGTGTGGGGGGGTGGAGGGTGAGAAAACCTGGATTTGTGCTGGAAATGGCCCAACTTGATGATCACTTTAGATAAGCTATTACCAGCAGGACAGTGGGGTGGGAGGAGGTATTGTTTCATGATCTCTGTGTGTATATAATGTCTGCTGCAGTTTCCACAGTATGCATCCGATGAAGTGAGCTGTAGCTCACGAAAGCTCATGCTCAAATAAATTGGTTAGTCTCTAAGGTGCCACAAGTACTCCTTTTCTTTTTACCATTAAATTAGGCTTGAATAAAGACTGGGAGCGGATGGGTCATTACACAAAGTAAAACTATTTCCCCATGCTTCTTTTCTTCCCCCCACTGTTACTCGCACCTTCTTGTCAACTGTTGGAAATGGGCCATCCTGATTATCACTACAAAAGGTTTTTTTCCTCCTGCTGATAATAGCTCACTTTAATTGATCACTCTCGTTATATATAGTGTGTATGGCAACACCCATTTTATCATGTTCTCTGTGTATATCTATATATCTTCCTACTGTATTTTCCACTGCATGCCTCCGATGAAGTGGGTTTCAGCCCATGAAAGCTTATGCCCTAATAAATTTGTTAGTCTCTAAGGTGCCCCAAGTACTCCTGTTCTTTTTGCAGATACAGACTAACACGGCTGTTACTCTGAAACCTGAGCCTGTAGGATGCACTTGGGTCATGTTTTCAAGCTTCACCAGGCTACTTCTACCCTGCAGCCAGGGGTGTGATTTGCAGCTTGTGAGACCTAGCCATGTTAGCTGAACTCTCACCAGCTCAGTAAAAAGAGAAGTGAGGCTGCACAAGCAAGTACATACCCAGGGGCGCTAGGTGGACTTGTGCAGCCTCCGCTGAAGCCCGCACCGCCATATCCTCACTGCTATTTTAGTGAGCAAGCTAATTTAAAACTAGCACAAGTACATCTACACAAGCTGCAAATCACACCGCTGGCTGCTGTAGAGACATAGCTGCTGCAACCACGAAGACTAGAAACTTTTTTTTATTATTAAAGCTGAGATTCTGACATGCTCACATGACTCCAGGAGCTGGGGCTTTGGGAAAAACACCAAATATCAAGAGACTCATAGTAAAATAGTGAGAACTGGCAGCACTGAGAACTATGCACTCTGTTTCGTAATGATCTCCCAGCAGAGCTGAGTACAGTGACTAGTTGTGTATTCAGTGAGAATACATTCACCTCTTTTCTCTGCTCATGATCGTTCCATGAGCAGACTGCAATTCTCTCCAGTGTGGGTGAAATTCAACCCTGTGCAGAGGAACAGCACAAGTTCTCAGCAACCCTTAAAGCCCTCATAGTGGTACACAAGTCTTGTGCTGGCCCCCTGCCCAAGGGTGAATTTCACCCTACTGGGTTCTGTTCACTAACTCTATTTCTAGGGACACATCACAAATAGGTTGCTCACAGCGGGCAAATGCCTGTGCATGAGAATTGAGAATCCATCTGGCACAAGTGTTCTGGGCCTGAGAGTTTTCTGACTGCCCTCTAGACAGTCACGGGAGCAAATTCAGCCACACAAATGAACCCCGAAGGGGCACATATGCAGCCCAAGCAAATCCACTTTCAAATTCAAGCTAATGCCAGTGGGAAATGATTTGTGGTACCCACCCATCTCTGCTTCCCAAAGCTAGTCTCTCTTCTCTAAAAAGAAAAAGGAGTACTTGTGGCACCTTAGAGACTAACCAATTTATTTGAGCATGAGCTTAATGCTCAAATAAATTGGTTAGTCTCTAAGGTACCACAAGTACTCCTTTTCTTTTTGCGAATACAGACTAACACGACTGTTACTCTGAAACCTGTCACTCTGAAACCTCTCTCTTCTCTGCATCTTCCTCTCTAAACTATAACCTCGTGCCAAGGGAGAGCTGTCACGGCTTTTGCAGCACATCCCTTCCCGTAATTTTCAGTGTGATCTGGCCTGCAATCAAACTGCTTATTAAATCAGAAAGCGCCTCCCTCAATTACCCGATCATAAAAGGATCAAAGCCAGTTCTTAGCTCAAGGTCAGTTTTATTGATTTTGGGGTTTCCCCCCTCCCTGGAGAAACGAAAATGAAAGTTCTTTTCAGCCTCTCCGACATGCCAGAGCAATTCTCGGGCTGCTAGAAAGGGACCCAGCAGCAGCATTATGAGAGCCATAATTATCCAGGGCTGCTTTTTGGGAGATTAAAGCCCTTATTAAAGGGAGCCCTGAAACAGCTGAGATTGTTACACCTGAGTAGAATTGAATTGCAGCGCACAGACTGCTTGTGACTTTGGAGATGTCCGACATGTGTCATTTCTGAAGTGAGGCTGTGCTGAACTGTCCGTCGAAAGGTCTCTGTATCATCTGGAAGAAAAATCCCGAGTGCTCCACCGTGCAGCAGAGGGCAGCTCAGCATTAGAGTCCTGATCTGCCTCTGTCAAAGCCTTCAGGAATGCTCCCAAAGCCCAGCCGCACTTGGGTAAATGTCCAAAAAGTCACCAGGGGGAAATAAATGGCGGGTTGAGGGCAGGTTTGGTAAAAGCAGTTAAGATCCCTTGAAAAATTACACTTATTAAAAAAAAAAAAAAGTTTTTTTCATTTACAAAGAAAAACACTCCAGACTTGGCTACTTCTTCACACAGTACATAGGCAACCTGTGGAACTCACTGCTGTGGGGAGTCAAGGTCAGGATAAAAGGGCTGCAAGACAGGAGGGGACTGGGACAGCCGCCGGGGCAGAGGAATTGCAGAGCACGGATCCCTCCAGCAAATTGATGAGAAGGTGAGACAAACAACACCCCAAAGAGGGAGAAGCTGGACAAGAGGCTGGGGAAGCCCACAGAGGAGAAGAGGCAGGAGTAGCTCAGGGAGCAGCAAGGGACTGGCTCAGGCTGTTCCCACAAGGGTCTTGAGCTGGAACCCAGTGGAGTGGGTGTGGCTTTTGGAGAAGGTCTTCAACCCAGGAGACCTCGGGCTGATTAGCCCCGCTAGAGCCACAGAACGTGACTCCCCACCACGCTGAAGGGGACAGAGACTACTGAGGACCCGGCTGGAATGGGGCGCGGCGATATAAGGGGGACGGAGCCAGGGAGGGGTAGCTCCCCATCTTGTCACAAAAGGGTGTTAACAAAGGCCCTCATATTGCAGGGCCTCTAGGAGCTACTGTAATACAAATTAATAACAACAACATCCGCAGGCCCGGGGAACCGTACCTGTGCTCTGTGGGCCGATGACTCTAACCTCCATGGCTCAGTCCAGCACCTGGCACCTGCACGAAATTCCCCTCGGAAAAGAAGAACAAAGAATATTAAAAGATCAACTTTCTCTGGCCCCCTCCCTGATCTGATTTAGTTTCCTCCCTTCCTAATTTCATCTCATCAGTAAAACCTGTTTACCCAGCCAGTTCATCCCCCTCTTCCTGGAATGGCTGTTTTACCTTCATCTCCTCTCCCTGCTAGGCTCCTTTCCCTTCCATCTTATCTCTAAGCTCTTTCCTCTGAGTTTCTGTCTCCTGACTGGTTTGTTGAAGTGCTGTTGGCCCTGAGAAAGAAAGCACAGAGCTCTTTCCCTTTCATATTTCGTCCTTAAAGAGAGACAAGTCACCAGCAGTTTTGTGGCACTAACCTCATATGTTGGCTTCTTTAGGCAAAGACGGTTTTAAAGAGAACAATCTGAGAACTCATTTCGCAGCAGCACTTGACCTCAGCCTGCTTTCTTCCTCTTAAAGAGATAGACCCATAGCCACTTTCCAGCCTTAACTGCTCCTCTAGAGCCTTAGAGGGAATGTGAGCATTTGCTAGTGGGGCAAGAACCAGGGTGGTCCAGTGGCCAGAGAACAGGACATTGGGAGACCCTCCCAGCTGTCAGAGTGGTAGCCATGTTAGTCTGTATCAGCAAAAACAAGGAGTCAGTCTCTATGGTGCCACAAGGACTCCTCGTTGTTTTTCCTCCCAGCTGATACACTGTGTCGCTGATTCACTGTGTCGCTGATTCACTGTGATCTTGGGCAAGTCAACATTTTTATGCCTAAATTTGCCCCCATCATAAAACCAGGATAATGACAGTTACCCCGCTTTGTAAACCATCCCGGGAACTAGGGGTAGAAACTCTCTTGATAAGCCCCAAACCTCTCACGCTGCTTGCAGCTGTCATGGGTACTTTGCCTATTCGTTTATGACGTTCAAGCACCAGGATAAACCCCTGCGATAGTCTCAGGGAGAGGGGGACACTGCAGGACAATCTTGCACCTATGATCTATTAGGTGCACAGCTGTTTACAAAGAGGAGCCTATTCAGAAGTAGGTAACTTTGTAATTTCCAACCATATGATCAAGGATTGCACACAAAGCATATCTAGCAAATGGTGCTACACTAAGTGTTTTCCAGTCAGGTTGCTACATCATGGTGAGTTTGCAGTTAGGAATCCTCAGTGTCTTTGCACCTGAAGCACCACCTGGAAGCCAGTTCCTGTTTGCATGGTTCCATCTGCCAGCTCCTCCTCGAAGCTTTGGGGCTGTCACTGAACAGTGCTCAAAGGGTCTAGTGAGCGGTAAAATTATCCCTTTAAATAAAGGTGTCAGGAATCTGGGAATGTCACCTGGCTTTGTGTGGGGGTGAACTTGATGTTCATGGAATTGAGGAGCGGATAGCATTAGCTAGGCCTAGGCATTGTGCAGGAAAATGCTGTCCAAGCTGCCTTTCCCTGTCAACACACCTTACTCCTGGCTTGTGACACCACCTGATCTGTGATCATTAATTATCCAGAATTGGAGGGTGGTTCAGGGGTGAGGGAAAACATCCACTGTGAGCTAGAGACTAAAACTCAGATGCTCACATATTTTCACTTGTAACCAAGTCAGGAACTGAGCCTGTGTTGCTAGATGTGAAAGGCTGGAGGCACTAATGCCAAGATCCTCAAAGGTTTTTAGGTACCTAACTCCCGCTGAAATCAATGGGAGAGAGACACTGTACTACCTTTCAGGGTATGAGCCGAACCCCCTGAAATAGGTCTCCTTAAGTATTTCAATAACTGACACTCCTGCCCCGCTCCACCCCCACCTCCAGGCCCCAACCAAGCCCAGCTGCAGCTACATTCCCTGCTGCCACCACACCGACTGGAACCAGTTGACAGGCGAGGAAGTCGAGCTAATCCTTGCAATAGCATTTTAGCCGCATTTTGCTGCACCACATCGGATGGATTCCAGGGCTGGTGACAGTAAGTGTATTAGCAGATTTAATCTTGTTGTCTGTGGAAACCAGCTTCTGTTCAGACACATTCGCTTCCTTTCAGGCTCTCTGTGTACTTAACACATTTTAAAGCACAAGTAATCCGCAAGCCTCTTTGTTGAGAAACTCAGAGGTCTCTGCCTCTCTAGCAGGGGAGACCCACCTTTGCCCAATAGGTAACCATGGGTGAAAATAAATCCTGTCTCCAATGAAATAAGTGGCAAAATTCCCATTGATTTCAATGGTGCCAGGATTTCACCCCACATCTTTATATTCAAGAGACCACAGACCTTGGCATGCAGTGCTCCGGCTTGATAGGACCAGAACCAGACAGAGCAACCTAGGACAGGAATGAGCAAATCTGTGTTTAAAGATGAAGGCAGTTGGTGGGGACTGCACTGAAGGACTCCACAGGCTATATTTGGGCTGTACTTTGGCTGACTCTGCTCCATGCAAGAGTGATGCAGATAATCCTTTAATCTGGATTTTGGTCTCAGCAAACGTATTTGTTTTTCCTATTCTTCAAAAAGCAATGAAAAGTCCCATTGTGCAGAAACAGAGAAAAGATGATGAATTTCAGTTAGTAATCAACATCTAGTAGCTGATTCCCCCCCCCCCATCTGTTACACCATTGAAAACCCATTAAAATATTTTACACATTGCATAACTAAATTCGTGGAACTCACTGTCACAAGATATTATTGAGGGCAAGAGTTTAGCAGCATTCGAAAAAGAATCAGGCTTTTTATAGGTAATGAGAACATCCTCAGTTACATTAAATGGTACAAAAATGTTATAAGGGCTCTAAACTCCCATGCTTCAGGTATAAACTGACACCTAAATCACAACGGTCAGGAAGGAAATTTCCTCTGTTGATAGATTACTCTATAATAGTCCATCTTTTGAAGCATCTGGCACTGGACCCAGTCAGAGAAACAGGATATCAGACTAGATGGATCACTGATCCAATAAGCCAGGGCAATTCTAGATCCAAAAATCTGTTATGAACTATTACTAATGGGACAGCGGCAGTTTTATCCTGGCACCCAGTGATTTTTTACAGTATTTTAGTTTTTTGTCCAGCTGCTCAGACACAGTAAGGTGTTAGCTCACCATGGCATGAATGATCCTCAAGCGGAGAAATCCCTTCTGTCTTATCCATTACCGAACAGGCTTTGCATGCATTACCCAAAGTGCACTTGTACCTTCTCACGTGATGGTCCTCACTGGACTGCACTGCTCCTCATGGGGGCGGAGAGGGGGCGAGTTTGCCATTGCTCAGTAACAGAGAAGATGCAGAGAAGCTTGCAGCCTGATTTGCTAGCAGGGGAGCCTGATCTGTCCAGCTTTTTGTTCTTTGGTCTGTGGCACTGCAGTCAAAGAGGAATTAGCCCAGAGTAGCTGGAGGAGATAAGGCGACATGAAGCTAGGAACAAATGAACATTCCAGCAACAGGGGCGGGTGTGTGTGTGTGTTGCTGATTTACCATGCCAGAGCCTTTCAGGTGATGCATTTAATTAAATAACATTGAGACCTCATATTTCAATGGACAACAGAGACTAGTGCAATTAAAGCCTGCAAGAAACAAAGACAAATAGGCTTTCAGTGAAGGTTGCCAGTCTTTGCTAAAATCATATATTTAAACTTTTTCTTTTGTAGGTAGCAAGCTCTCCAAGACATTGGGTGTTGGAGCTCTCACTCACATACCCCTCACCATTGAAAACACCAGTACCCACCCGTATCCACATTGGATAATAGCTTATTACATAAAGTAGCTCCATTTCCATCATTTTCGTACTGTGATCTGTATTACTGTAGGCCGCACTCGAGAACAGGGCCTGTGCAGACACATCTACACAGCAGCTGGAAGTGGCCTCCCAGCACCTGTAGGCAGAAACGCTAGTAGCGTGGCCACGCCGGCGCAGACAGCGGCTCAGGCTACCCACCTGGGTACAAACCCGCCTAGGTGCACGCTCAGGAAGTCAGCCTGAGCCACCCCACCTGTGCGGCCGGCGCCACGCTGCTATTTTTAGCATGCTAGCTCAAGCAGAGCTAGCACCTGTCTACCCGCCCTGGGAAACACAGTCCCAGCTGCAGCGTAGACAAACTCATAGTAAGAGGCAGTCCCTGCCCTGATGAGCTTACGAGCTGGAAGCAGAGTCACAAAGAGGAGACGTAACCTGCCCTGTTCACAAGCAGGTCCAGGACTAGAACCCTGAGTCCTTGGTCGGTGCCCTACCCACTACACCACACTGCCTCTCAGTGGGATGGCTCAAGAACAAAGGGACTACTCAGCATGAGTAAAGGTGGCCAAATAAAGCCCTTTATATAAGATGCTGCTGGATTCTATCCTTGTCTTTGTTAACGAGTTCTGTGTCTCTTTGGACAAGATGCTGTATCTCACTTCCCTCCTCTGGGAATAATTATCCAGACCAAGTCACCCCAAGGTGCCAGGCTTACTCTGCTCATCCATATGAAGTGCTTTGAGATCCTCAGTTGGAGGGTGCTATGAAAAGTGATTTGGTTTGAGAGAAGCATTATTGGAAAGTGGTAAAATCATATGAAGTTCCAGTTATTACAAATGGTAAGTTATGTACGAACACTCCTGTAGTGCCATAAGAATTGGTGGAAAATTAAGCAATTGGTTCAAGCCAAAGTTTTAGATATGGCAAGGTGGCATGAAATCACCATCGCATTTCATCGAGTTCTTAAATGGGATGTTAGGAACAGTAGACGAGTTGGAGAGCATGACATTGGGTGATCTAGAGTTAAGCTTATGCAGATGGTAACCGGCAGACATGTCTGAAGGATGATGACACTCTTTGCTACCTTGGAAAATTGGTGTGGTTGACTTGGCCCTACAATAAATGCAAAGAAGTGGTTGCATCTTAGAAAAGGGACAATCGATGAAGTGTTTAAATGCAGCAGCAGTGAAATCCTAGAACAAGTAAAATCTAACGTGTACCTAGGAAGCTTGATCAGTGCTGACAGTTCCAACAAGGATATGATTAAAAGGAAATGGGCTTTAGGTACAAGTGATGCACAGAAGCTGATGTAATTATGGACGGGTAAAAATATTAAATTTGGTACCAAAGTGAAAGTGTATCCAACCAGTGCATTGAGGGTATTACTCTGTGGTCTGGAAGCAGCTGCATTAAATGAAACAGCTGTCAGAAAGCTGAAGGCAGTAGGGAAGCGAGTTCTTCGGAAGACACCAGGTGTAAAGCGGAACGATCTTCAGCCAGATGAAGACGTGGGAAGGAGAGTAGAATGTGAAGTCAGGGAACGGGATTGGCTGCGGCTGACAAGATAACGATGGTGGGGACGCTGCAGAAGATAAACAGATCACAGGAGACCAAATAAAATAATGCAACTGCAACCAAGGTTAGTCAAACCTAGAGGCTGACCACCGAGCAGATGGCAGGACATGGTACACAGGGACATAACCAGATGGGGGTTCAATAGAGGAAAAAGCCCTGGTCAGGAATGGATGGTGATGCTGTTCTGCTCCCCGTGTCCATAAAAATGGTTTGGGATGAGAAGGAGGAGGAAGGGGGAAAAGCCCAACTCTGCTAGGCTGCTGTAAGCAGATTCTTGCCTCGTTCCTAGTAGACATTTCCACTTCAATCACTGAGCAAGGGAAACCTGCCTGCATCTGCATGCAGGAAAATGAGCACGTCCATCTTCATACTAGCAGTAGGGAACACCAGCCCCATTATGTGCAAACACATGAGCCTGCCAAGCAAATAAAGGATACCGGCACCTCTTCTGGGGCGAGACAGAAGAGAAGCAATAGTGGGTTTGTTACCATTTAGGTAGAGCAACACAACTCAGTGCGAGCACTATTAGTGACTAGATAAACTGCACACCCAGGGTTTGGATTGCCAGGTGAAATGGCATTGTGCCCTGCCACTATGGCAGCTCCACCTACATCAGCAGAGAGAAAGTAGGGTCCAGTGGTTACAGGGTCAGCTGAGGACTTGGGAGACCTGGGATCAATTCCCTGCACTGCCACAGCCTTCCCAGATGACCTCAGGCAAGTCACTTAGGCTGAGATTATTGAAAGTATTTAGGCACCTAACTTCTATTGTTTTCAATGGGAGTAAGGCACCTAAATCCCCTTAAAAAGCCGCTCTGGGCCTCAGTTCCAAGTCTGTTAAATGGGCATGATAGCACCGCCCTACCACACAGGGGTGTCATGTGGATAAATACAGTAACGATTGTGAGGCACTCAGGGACTGCGGTGCTGGGGGCCAGAGAAGTACCTATAATAGAAGGATCAAACCTCTCCATGTGGATCAAGTCCTAACTGGCTGTTGTTACTTATCTGCTAAAGCATCTCAGGCCAGACTCCACCCTGACGTATACTCCACGCAGTGCTATTGGTTTCAGGATGCCTAGCTGTGGAGAACCTGAGCCCTGTGCGTGTGAACAGGAGGAAGATTATTGTCTCTGCAGTAAACATACCCATTGTCACAGGGCAGGACAGAAAAAGTTCTCAGGAGACTCAGATTTGAATGCAAAAATCACTGTCACTGTGTAGTCAAGGTTTAATCCAGACTGACACCAATTTATTATAATCATCATGGTGGTAATGCCTAGTGGCCCTGACCAAGATTCGGGCCCCGTTGTGCTCGGCACTGTACACACACACACACACACACTGTAAGGACTGGTCCCTGTAATTAGATGCAGCAGACAAAGGGAGTATCATCATCTCCTTTTCACAGATGGGGAACTGGGTCACCGAGGGATTAAGAGACATGCCCAAGGTAGGAGTCTGTAGCAGAACCAAAAACTGCATCCAGGTGTGACGAGGGCGCCAGCATGGGGCCAGGAAGAATCTGGTACATCCCGTCACACCGAGTCTGAGTTCACTGCCTTAATCACAAGATCATCCTTCCTTGACCTCACAGCCTCTAGCTGCCTTTCCTTCCACTCTATTTTACAATCCGGAACCAAACAAACAAATCAATAAGTAAAAGCCCTACTGGAATCTGAGCCCTACTGGAGTGTCTCTCTGTTTCCCCGGAGCTCCCTGGCCTGGGGCCTGGTCAACCAAACCTCCTTCTCTCTACTCAAGGGCTGAATGAATGAAAGAGGCCCTCTTTCATCCCTGGTGATAATCTCTTCAGGTCTGAGTGGAGACAGGCTCAGCCATTGCAAGGGAAGCTTAAAAACCCCACCACTCTGAAAACAGTGCAAAGACTGGATCCGGTTTTCAGCTTGGGTGGCCCTCAAATAACACTCGGGGAAGGAGAGAAGATGCATCTCTCACAATTAGCCTGCAACAGACCTTACCAAGCATCATTACTATAACTGCAGGACTTTTACGCAGGGACACGATAAGGTAGCTGTTATTTACCATTCCCCTCTCCTCAACCTACCCCCTCTTCTTTCTACAATGCTTTGGTGAAAACCAACCTAGTGGCCTGCAACCCTGCAAGATTACTACTCCAGGTCTCCATGGAAGCAAAGCACCAGCCTTCCCTTCACCTCACAGAGAAGCAAAGCACATTGAATTTTCCCTTTGATGTAACACAAAAGCGAATGGAATTAGAAAACAAAACAAAAAAACCCACCTTAGCCTGAAGCTGAGGCCATCTCTGCCTGGGAGTTGAGATGATTCAAAGGCAACGCCAGTCAGAAGAGTTCCGTTTGCTCACCTTTCTGCAAATACCGATTTTTCTCCCATTTAGCACAAGGGCACAGAGAAAACTTGCTTGCAGGCAAAATTCAGCCGGATCCTATTTTAACAGCTGCACACGTGGCCTGCAGACTGCAGGGTATTTGTGTTGAAATTAGCAGGTAAGCCCTGAGTCCAAACACCCCTTAGACTGCAGCATTTGGATTTTTAACACCCCAGTTGCTAAGGTATAGACAACACAGCAGAAGCTATTTCCATTTTCCCTCCGTAATATTAATATACAATGGTCAGCTCCCGGGCTGGTGTAAATCAGCCCAGTGCCATTGAAGTCCATGGAACTGTGCAGAGATACACCAGCTGAGGATCTAGCCCCAACTTTTTATAGCTGTCTGAAATGGAACAGGATTAATCACACCCCTTCAGCACAAGCTGTGTATTTTGCAGAGACTGGCTAACAATGCTTAATTTAATTGCCCCATTTTATACAACCACTGAGTTTAACACAGTTTGTCTGGATCAAATTAATATCAGGGCACATACACGTAACACACCCATTATTGCTACATAGGAAATTCCTTATTCATGCTGTAGAAAAAATCAAAAGATCAATTGCAAATGGGTTGTTATTGAACATGTTGTTTTCTTGTTTTGCTTAACATCATATACAAAGGGAGAGAATTATCTGATTTTTCCTGCCCCAGCACTGTGATGTATTGTCAAGATTTAATTCACTGAAAGCCAATGAGAAGCCATACAATATTGTTTTACACCTCCCATCCATAATGCATAGAAATGAATGTAATGCTGTTAAGATAACCCTTCTGAGAGTTGCAGCAATTCCCCCAACAGGATTAAACCTTTGTAGTACATCTTGTTGCTCTGGTTTCTTACCCCTCCCGCCCAACATGCTGCAGAAATACAATCCAGAAAAGCAGATGACATTGCTAGAGGGTGTCTCTTTATATGGGGTAGAGCGGGGAAGATGTTGTAGCAAGTGGATTTTCCCTACCACTATCTACCAATGCAGTTTATTTGAAAGATCCCCCCATAAATCTAGGAATTAACTGATGCTGTTTCTGCTAGTGTAACTGAGATCAGGAGCTGGTTCTGTGAGTACACAGATTAAAGTAATTTGGGGTTGTAGACGAGGCTTGGGTCTGGAGGTAAGTACAGCTCATTTAACGGTTAGATTGGGATAGTTTCTATTTAAAAACAAAAGACGTGTTTATCCTCACACTGATCATTTTGGCTCAGTGGAACTTCTCACAGGGGAAAGATCAGCACTATCAGATCTGATTGAAGGGCTAGGGCCTTACCTGTATGCTGCATCTCTCTCCCCGCTTCTTTTATCTATCTAGACAGCAAGCTCTTCGGGGCAGGGACTTTGTTTCTCCCCCTCAGTATTTGGAAAGTGTTTAGGGGATTAGGGGTACTACCACACTCTAAATAAATAACAGCTCACGTCACCCACTCCAGAAATTCAGCCACTTTGGTGAACTACCAGCCAGGGCTGTTTTGACCATGTTGTTATTAGTGGGGAAAGTGATTCAGTAGGGAATGTAGTGTGTTCAGAGTCTTCAGCGCATGTATTTAACTCTGCTATTAAAATGCGGTAGATACTGTAATCTCCTCTTTACAAAGAAGCTCAAGGAGAAGATATGTGAAAAGAAATTGTGTAATGTTTGGCCCAAATTATGGTTCATCGATGATGAGAAATGAAAAGTTAATTTTTAATACTCTTATTTTAAATGGCACATAAATCTGAATGAACCATTGAATATCAAACTGAGTAAGACCTAAATGGATTGGGCCACAGCTTCAGCTGATGTCAATGAGCATAGCTCCCTTGATCTCAATGGAATGATGCCAATTTACATCAGTGGAGGATCTGGCCCATTATTTGGAAAATAAAAGTTGTTAAAGTGGATTCTATTTACTAAAAGCAGGTTAGAAGTCAGATGGTCTGGATTCTAATGTAGGGTCTGCCAGAATAGTTCTGTGTGACCTTGGACAAGTCATTCAATAACCTTTCCGTGCCTCAGTTTCCTCATCTTTAAAATCGAAATAAAAATACTTACGCTTGCTTGCAAATCACTTGAGAACCTCAAATGAAGCAATGCTGCAATTCTATTATACTGGCCAGAAATCAAACCAAAAATATGGGTGTGAAAGTTTAACCACAGCTGAAAAGTCCAGCAGAGCTGAGAACATTCTTGCTGTGCAGCTGAACCACCAGTGTTGTTGCTGTGGTTTTTTTTTTTAAGGAAATATTTTTACAACGAATTTGCTGAGAAACGCAGACAACAAATGCAGCACTATAGGGCCCAATCCAAAGCCCAGTGAAGTCCATGAGTGACTTTCTATTGACCTCACTGTTTTTTTGTTTCAGATTCGTAGATATGTGGGACACTGAACAAGAACAAATAAAAAATAAAGGTGTGTACAGAAAACTTGTTTGTTGGGGGGAGTGGGAAAAATCTTTGTGCAGGAGTATTATGCTGACAATGTTTTCCATAAACCAGGTGCTCCAAAATTCCATGTGTTTCTACCTGTATAACCAACGATGTTGCAATAATTTTACAGCAAGTAATATAAGTAGGACAAGCCTTTGGTGGGTTTATTCACTACTTGAATCAGAAAGACTTCTAACTCACCTGATCAAAAAAGGTATCAGTCAGAATCTATTACAGTTTTATTATTTTCTTTTAATTCATTAAGGTCAACTCCAAGGTGATACAAGGCTCATTAGTTATACATTTAACTTTCAAGTCTGGCAATTCATGGCAAGATGAAGGACAAGACACCAACAGCGAGTGACAGAAATTGGTCGAAATGTACAATATTAGCTCCATTCTAGTAATCCTGCCCAGAATTGGTCATAGGGTAGACGCATGCAAAGCCTTCAAAGGAAACAGGGCCAAATTTCACTGTGGGTTTAAATCCACTGAATTCAATGGATTTACACAAAGGATGACATGACTCCACTAGGTACAACTTGTCTTAATATTCTTGGACTAATTTCAGATTTCACACATTCTCTCTGTTTGGGGGGAAAAGTGAATGAAATTCTCTGTCAGGGCTCATCCCCCGATTGCAATTATATTTTAAACAGTCAGGTGGTTTTAAACCAAGGTTCATAGGCAAGAAACTCATGAAGGGAAGAAGTGTACTTTACTGCAAGCTGCTTGTGAGAAGAAAAACATGAAGAAATAACGAAAAAGAAAGGTATTTTTGTCTGACAGAATACAGACCTTCAGCTTCCTGACCACCCTCAAATTATTTCAGTCGTAAAGGGAAATAAGTTTGCTTGCTGGATTTAAAACACACAATGTGGAAAAAAAGAGAAATGTAGGCTGTAGTATGGCTGCGCTCATCTGATTAGTACAAATATTGTATTTTAACAACAGATCCTAGAGGGTTTCTACATATGCCATCTACATACAAGTTTTAGTTCTTCCATACTGCCTAAGAAATGGCCAGTGGGCATTTACTGATTATAAACATATGTGTTTATTCAAACACTTGAGTTTCATATGTGATCTATTAATAATACACCGTTACACAAACCCTATTTTCCCCCTACCGTTATTTTTAATGTGATATAATGTTAGATTTTTGTTACACCAGTCAATTATGCGGAGACAATACTAAACAGAAACTAACACAGAAGCTCCAGGAAGGTAATTTACTCTATTTTAAATATACATTAAAATTCAAGTAATATTCAGCGAGTCTAAGTTTATTTTCCTATCAAACAGACAAAACACTGTGGGAGGTACACATGTTCCTATAACATTTACAACAAGAACAGAAAGGTCAATATAAGTGGGTCAAACTTTCAACACTAAGGCACAATATAATGAATACTAGAGTTTAGCTAAAATCCTAGTTTACTATCACTTCGAGTGAGTGGATTACAGCTTGTGTTCCTGTATTAAAAATACTCAGCTACTACATGACAGAATTCAGCGTTTAGGAGGTGTTACCTAAGTGGAACTAAGGTGTATTGCATGTGTCAAAGATGGGGTAGCAAAGACTAGCCATAGTAGTTATTATTGTGTATTTTTCACACCATTAGAATTAAAGCTCAGGTCATGTTTCCATTATGAAGCCCAGTTTTCAGACTCTGTTCAATTGGCCCTTTTAAACTGCAGCAGGCAGAAACCGGAGAGTCATTGGCTAGATCCATTTTTTTTGTCTAGAAACATTGTGACTTTTGAAAGGGCCTAGCGCTGTTGAAGCCAATGACAAAACTCCTGTTGATTTCAATAGGGGCAAGCCTGGGCCCGAGTTGTTGAGCTGCACAGCATAGGGCTTGATCCAAAACCCACTGCCGTCAATGGGAGTTTTTCCACTCAGTTCAGTGGACTCTGCATCAGTCCCCGAGTTTCTTAAGCTGAATTGATCTACGCTCTTTGGCCAAGTTTCAGGATAGCATTCCAATTCAGGAAAGCAATTAGGCACATCTAAATCAATGGGATTTAAGCACATGCTTAAAGTTAAACATGTGTTTAAGTGCTTTTTTGATTTGAGGCCTCTAAAAATAAGTTTGTTTACTTTTCAAAACTGCAGGTTTGCTGGCACTTCATGCAGATTCCTGATTTTTATTTTTAACTTATGGAGATATTTTAAGTTTGAAAACTGGGTATGGCTCAGGCAGAATAGCTGCTTTGTAATTTATTTTTTTTAAACCAAAAATAGAAAACAAAATTCCAAACCTTTAAATGATACACTTGGCAAATTTGCTATTAAAACAGAAAGACCTTGGTATTTTAACAACTGCTCTGCAAATAAAATGAAGGAAAACACCTTCATAAAGAAGGTGGTACCTAAAGAAATATGTGCTAAAGAACAAGCTTATATTTTTGAATGCTTTAAATCAGCACTAATTAATATGCCTAATTTTGATCCTATTACTAAACTTACTCTATTTTCCTGTGAATTTTCCTGTGTAACACGATTGCTAAACAATGTAACAATCTAGGTTATGGCACATAGTGTGAGGAGTTGGGGCTTTCTTTGTCCCATCTCTTTTATCGTCTTGAGGAATGTTTAGTTCTAAAAATCACAATAAAATGCACACATCAACATTATCTCAAAGGCAGCTTATAACCCAATCTTTCAGCATTCCGTGACAACACTTACTTTTCTCTTAGTAATGTCTGCATGCCCATGCCCAAACCACAATTACATACCTCACAAATATTTCACAGTATAAGTTCTTTATCACAGAACACTGATGTTCAGACACCTGAATGTGTAACTATTTCTCCCCTGCTTCTTTCTAAACACAGTTTTCTTTAGCTATTTAAAACTTCCCTTGGTCTAGTCAAGACTGATCTATAGAAAGTCCTCTATGGAAAATAATACCGGATACAACTCAAAAAAATCTTTGAGTCATACAATGGTACTGAGGTGCCTCAGGTTGTTGCAGATCTGCTCTGAGTGATAGCACTGGTTTCCTCCGGATTTAAACTTTCATTGTCACCGCTAGCAGGATTAGAAAGGTTATAGGCTTTGGTAACCCCCAGATAACGCTTTAGTCAAAGTCTACCCCCTACAGCACTGTGATCAATATGCATTTTGGAGTCAGCTAGGAAGAGAAGTGTCCATCAGTACTCTGGATAGAGAGGGATCCACCATGCCCCAGCTGGGTATAGGATTCCAGGCCCCTGGCTGAAGAGGGAGCTCCAGGCCTCGGTTCCAGGGGCCAGTTCCATCCCCCTGGCTGCAGAGAGAGCTCCAGCCCTGGCTTTAGAGGCTGGGTCCAGACCCCCTGGCTCTAGAGCTCCAGGGCCCATTCCCGTCCCCTGGCTGCAAAGGGTGCTCCAAGCCCTGGCTCTAGGGCCGGTCCCAGGCCCCGCGGCTGCAGAGGGCGCTCCAGGCCCCGGCTCTAGGGGCCGGTCCCAGGCCCTAGGGGCTGCAGAGGGCGCTCCAGGCCCCGGCTCTAGGGGCCGGTCCCAGGCTCTAGGGGCCGGTGCCAGGCCCCCCCGGCTGCAGAGGGCGCTCCAGGGGCCGGTCCCAGGGCCCCCGGCTGCAGAGGGCGCCCAGGTCCCCGGCTCTAGGGGCCGGTCCCAGGCCCCCCGGCTGCAGAGGGCGCTCCAGGCTCCGGCTCTAGGGGCCGGTCCCAGGCTCTAGGGGCCGGTGCCAGGCCCCCCGGCTGCAGAGGGCGCTCCAGGGGCCGGTCCCAGGGCCCCCGGCTGCAGAGGGCGCTCCAGGCCCCCCGGCTGCAGGGGCCAGTCCCAGGCTCCCCGCGGCTGCAGAGGGCGCTCCAGGCCCCCCGGCTGCAGGGGCCAGTCCCAGGCTCCCCGCGGCTGCAGAGGGCGCTCCAGGCCCGGGCTCCGGAGCGGCCCCCACCCCGCCGGGGCCCGCGCCCTACGTGCCCCTCTTGGCGGCGGGGGCGGCGGCGGCGGCGGCCGGCGGCATGAGGTTCTCGGTGATGTAGGCCACCAGCAGGCAGATGAGGACGAGCATGACGCAGATGGAGCCCCCCACGGCCGTCATGGCGATGACGATGTCCCGCAGGCCGGCCGGCTCCCGGCTGAACTCCACGCACTCGGCGCGGGGCGCGCCCGGCCCGCCGGCCCGGGCCAGGGGCTGCAGGCACAGGCGGTAGCGGACGCTGCCGTGCGCCTCGCGCAGCAGGTAGTCGCGGCAGGCGGCCCCCAGCTGGACGCGGTCGCAGTGGAAGCGGGTGTAGGTGCCGGCCCAGGAGCAGTTGAGGGCGAAGCCCCGCAGGTCGCCGCCCGGCGCCCCCCACTGCAGCAGCACGCTGCCGTTGGCCAGCACGTTGGCCACCAGGGCGCGGCCCGGCGAGCGGTGCGCCCGGCAGCTGGGCGGCGGGCACTGGAAGTCCCGGGCCGGGCTCCTGAAGCAGAGGCGGCCGCTGGCCTGGCCCTCGCTGAACACCTTGTAGGGGCACCAGGGCGCCGCGCCGGGGCCGCGGGCCGGCGGCGGGTCCCAGGCAGCGGCGCCGCCCGCGGCCAGCCTGCCCCAGGCGGGCCCGGGGCGGCGCGGGCAGAGGCAGAGCAGGGCGAGCGACTGCAGCAGCGGGCCCGGGCGGAGCATGCTGGGCGGGCGCCCGGGGCACGGAGCGGGGCCGGGCGCCGCAGCGCTAGCGGGCGGGCAGGGGCAGCGCTTCGCCGGCCCGCTGGCTCCCTGCGGGTCCGCGGGCCCCAGGCATCGCCGGCGGCCGCGAGCGACGTGCGCCGAGCCCCGCGCGGAGCCGGAGCCGGCCCCGGCTAAGTTCGCCCCGCCAGCGCGTCCCCGGGGCAGGGAGCCGGCGCTGCCTCCTGCCTCCTCCCGCAGCCGAGCGGCGGCAGGCGCCTGTCGGACCCGCCAACTTCCAGCCCAAGGGCCGCGCCGCCCCCCTCCCGCCCGGGCGGCCGCCAATGGAGAGGCGGCTCCGGCGTTAACTCGCGCTGGGCTGCGGCGCGCAAACCCGCCTGCCCCGCGCTTCGGCAGCGCGCGAGCGGGGAGAGGATGGAGCCAGAACCCGAAGGGAGAGCGGGTGGTGAAACCACAGCCCCGGCAGCGAATAGCTCAGACCCCCCCCCCCCGCGTCCTGCAGGCAGGCGCTGAACGCGGTCCGGCTTGCAAGACGGTGGGGGGAATAAGGCTTGCTCCTGACCCTCCAGCCCCAAAGCACCCAGTCCCACGCCCGTTGAGGCCAGGGGAAGGATTCCCCTTAGCTTCAGCTGGGTTTTAGAGCAGACCCACGTGCATTTGGATTAGGGTTGCCAGTTCTGGTCGGACCTATTGCTGGAGGTCCGAAGCTTTAATTAGAGATTCCTCTTTAACTCTTGGAGACTCCAGGACCACCCTAAAGGGTTGGCACCCCGAATTTGGATCACATCAACACCCACTGTGCTTTATGGAGAGGGATGAAGTCAAGGGCCTCTACCCAAAAGTTCCATCAGTGCTTGACTTTTAAATTATCCCTGCACCTGTGCAGTTCTGCCAACAGTAGCAATGAGAGGACACTTGGACCAGTTTCCTTCCTGTAGATTCAAATCAAGGGTGGATGCCTTTCTAGATAATGTGCTTTAGTCAAACAAGTAACTGGGCCTGATAGAGGGTAACTGGGTGAAAGTCTCTGGCCTTGCTTAGGAATGAGGTTAGAACAGGTGACCTAATGGTCCCACCTGGCCCTTAAAATCTACAGAGCTGTGACTGAAATGGGGAGTAACAGAATTCCTTTCCCTTTGGAACAAAGTATCACTACAGATCTGTTTTTCAGGGTTACCCCTTCGCTGCATGTTGTACAGGGTAGGCCCAGGCCAGCTGGCACTTCCTGCCATGTAGCCCAGAGTAATCCCATTGATTGACAGCACTGTACTGGTTAGGAAATGTTTGTTAGAGGGCCCTTTGCTAGGGAAAATTGTAGAACGTTTCCTGGCCCTGCAGATTCATGCAGCTCCACCAGCGTTAGCAACGTTGAGAGCTTTGGCGGAGACAGGTTGCAGGGCTGCCACGGGTGTTTCTAACACCCCATCACCTAACCCTGCTTGGACCAGACTGATATTGACCCGAGGTTAAAACAGAAATGCTGTTGGAGGGTCACACAGTAAGTGGACAGCAGGAATAGAACCCAGGTGTCCCGCCTGCCCGGACCAGGCTACGTCAAGGTGAGTGAGTGGTATCTTGGTCCTGGACATGGTTTTGTCTGGGTTTTCTTATAAACTAAAGGTTATGCTTTCAGGTTTAGAATTTCAATCTTACTAAGCATGGCCCTGGGGAGCAGGTAGGGTTTATTGGCCTTTCTGCAGAGGAATGGGGGAGGAGGGGAACTAGAGCATGACATACTGGGTCAGAGACAGACTGGGAGAAAGGCAGTCAGTGGCATAGCTTGGCTACAGTCATCATAGCAATTAGAGAAGAAAAAGGACTCGTTAAGGCATTTAGTCCAGTCCATTGCTAGCTCAGGATACATCAGCGCTCTAATAAATGGCCGTGGTTGGCTCCAGTAGCTGCCTCGGGACTGGGGGACTTGGGCTGGAGGTGGGTCCTGTCTCCACTGCAATAAAATATACGAGGCACCAAGCCTCAGAGCTCAGGTCAGTTGACCCGGGCTGGCAGGGGTAAAGGCTGCAGGGCTAAAAATTGCATCGTAGACACTTGAGTCTGGGTTCTCAGATCCTCCCCTCTCCTGGGGTCTCAGACCCCAGGCTCCAGCCAGAGCCCGAATGTCTACGCTGACATTTTATAGCCCTGCAGCCTGAGCCCCAGGAGTCAGCTGTCAGGGGCTCTGAGACTCAGTGCTGTGGGTTTTTTACCAGTGTACACACACCCCCAGGGACTTGTAATCCCAAGTCACTTCCAGTCGCCAGAAGGACTCATCATCCATTCACTCAATCTCCTGGGGTCAGCCATTTCCTGCAGTACAGAGGGAAGGCGAAGACAACCACTGGTGGGGACATAACACCGGGCACGTTTGCTGGACCGCATAATGCTTTCAGAAAGCTCTTGAAAGATTTATGCTGGGAGCGTGTTCCTGCCGGTCTTGCCGTTGTCAAAATGCGGAAGCGGGAGATTCCTGAATAACTAAAGGATGATAAAAATACACATGTAACCTCAACTGTTTGAGGATCCTTTGCACAGTTAAAGTGGTGGAAGCTGCTCTAAATCTTGCCTAATTCCAGGCTCCACCCAACGCTATAATTTGCTCTAATTGTTTTATAAACAACTTTATGAAGAGTCTTTAGTGGTTTTAAGCAGCAGAGAAGCCGGAAGTTACTACTGTACTTTCCCCTCCTCCACCAGTCAAGGGAGACTATAAATATTGCTGGAGGACAAGATGCTTCACTTTGTTACTGATTTTTTTACCTTGAAATACTTCCTGGTCCAACACTGGCCCGATCATTGCAAAATCTTGCAAGGAAGAATTTTCAAATGACAGTTTGTAGAAAAACGTTGTAATCAAGAATACGGTTAATGTTCCCTAATCAAGAGTTGAATGTTTTCTTTAGTGACAATATTAACTTATTTAGCCCATATCACCTATAACAGTGACCGTTCTCTGAACGTATGGTATAAGTGGCATAGTATTAAATATCTAGTGCTGAGAATGTATGGTTTCTTCCTCTTCCCCCATCCTACACCATTAGTGAATAATGATATAGTCCATGTATAGAGATTTATATTACCTCTTTGTCTATTATATCTGCTGCTTTTGATGCCAAGAATTAGGTTTTAAAAATAGCTACCATTTGGTGTCACAGATAATGTGTGTGCTGCCCCTGCTGGTATGCATATATTATGGTCAGCATCAATTACATGATCAGTAATGCTGCACACGCACATACGCACGAGAGGAAACATAAAGGTGAAGTATTGGCTTCTGATTGAGAACACAGAAGGCCGGGAAAAATCAAGGTTTGTCAAATGCCGGGGGCAGGGAATCAAGGTTTGCAAATGCGGGAAGGGGGATTAATGTTTGATTTCCCCCCCCCCCCCCGCATTTGCAAACATTGATTCCCCCCCCACATTTGCAATGTTTGGCAAATGCAGGGAAACATCAGCATGGGCTTAAGCTGATGAGACCAGAATGCAAACAGGAGAGCACAAAATGAGAACGAAAAGCCGTGATAAGGAATGATGCATCTGAAGAAGTGGGATTTTTTTTCCCACAAAAGCGTATGCCCAGATAAATCTGTTAGTCTTTAAGGTGCCACCAGCCTCCTTGTTGTCATTATAAGGAAGTAGTCACAAGTGTCCCTTTGAATGAGAAGAAAAGGGAATCTTAGCTGTGTTGTGCAGAATGACTGGTATATGTGATTGGGACGTTTGTTCTAACAGCAGAATGTGCAACAAACACTTAAGTGGAAATAACAATGTAATATAGAAAATGCAAGCAATGTGTCCTAATATAAACAATATAGGAGTGAGAAATCTGGATAGATGAGAATTTATGCTTTTCGATGAGGAACATTTATTAGCATGTGAAAGTTTGATGTATAACAGAAGTTGTAGCACTGAAGTTTGATTGAATGTATTTTACTGCCTGAGAAAATGACTTGGCCTGAATTCAAGCAGTCACTTGAATGCGTTCAAAGCATAATTAACTCCTGTCTGAGATTTATTAAAACGTAGCCTCATTTTAAATGTGGTGAGCATTTATATGACCAAATTGTCTACCGTTGAGCCAACTTCTCTGAGTGACTTACCTTTTCAATTGTCGTTCGCAGTGTTGGAGCCCTGTTGGTCCCAGGCTATCAGTGAGACAGGGTGAGTGAGGTAATATTTTATTGGACCAACTTCTGTTGGTGAAATGTACAAGTTTTCAAGCTACACAGAGCTATTCTTCAGGACTGGGGAAGGAAATCCGAGCGTCAGCGAAATGCAAGGTGGGGCAGATTGTTAAGCAGGCAGGGCTCACGCATGCTGTCAGAGACCACATCATTTTAAGTGAGCACTGAACTGTTACACCAGGGTGGGAATAGGGAGTGCTATGCTGCTAGACATGCCTCCTCAGCTCTTCCAGGTCAGAAGCCTGTTGAGAAAATGTATTGTCATTAAGGACCCAATAACACTTTTAGTAAAAGATGGGGGTGTCTGGCAGGTGCTCAGAGCCCATTCCACCTTCCGTTCTTCCTCCCTGAAGTCTGTGCAGCGCTGCCATCCGCTGTTAAAACAGATTCCACTCTAAAGCTGGCTTCATTTTGGTGGTCAAGGATGTGATCCTGTACCTGCCTCACGGGCAGTTTGTCAAGCCTAACTAAGGAATCTTTGCAAAGTTTGCCATAGTCATGCCACTAGAGTCCCTGCGGTGTAGATGTAGCGCTAGCCTGGGCCTTATTTTATGTCCCTGTTAAATCCTATGGGGAGGGAAAACCAGAGAAGTCCTGTTAGTCTACTGCAATAGAAGGGACTGCCCGAGAATGCCTCAGAACAGGTGTCTGGATTTGTTAAGGATTTTTATTAATCACTCTATGGCCAATATTGTAATGTTGCTTCCTTTGGGCCTAATTCAGCTACTCTACCTCATGCTGAATAGTACTTTAACTGCACAAAGAATCCCTTTGAAAGCACTGAGGCTGCTCACTGAGTAAAATGCTACTCTGCGTGAGTAAGGGTTTCCAAAGGAGACCCTTGGCTTTAGTAAGGTTGTTAGAAGTGTTAGTCATTGAGGGAAGAGCCTTTGGAGACCCCTGAATACAGAATCGGCTCATAGTGAATTTGGCAAGAGTAGTGGGGAATGGTCTCCAGTTATTTACAATTTCTTTATACCTATGCATGGTAGTTTCCCCTCTTACATCCCAGAGCACTGGTACTCTGCCAGCCAGCTCCGGAATGCAGAGCATCGTAGGTATATGGGGGTCTTCCAGCTGGGACA